CGCAGGTGGTGATCTGTTAGAGAGTACTGGTACAGTATGGTACTCGTGCAGTATTAGTATATAGATTATTACAATGCATTTTGATTTTCGATTGAAGTACGTTGTGTCCACACGACACAACATACAACTTGATGAGTTTTGCCTCCTTTTGAGCTGGGAACATGCCCTTTTCTCGCTTCCCCAGAACTGTTTGACTTCGCATCCAGTCTTTGAGACATCCACCCTGGTTTTGTGGATCGTTTGTTATTTTTTATTTCCCCGGTAAATCCCCAAACCTGGAGAACATTCTTGATTTCTTGCCGGGTTCCCGGGTTCCTCGAGCACCAAGCGAGACGCGTCTGCTTTGTAAACCCACGGCACCTGTGAGTCACGTCGCTACCAAGGCCAAGCCGCTGTTTGAGGGCCCAGGGCCCCTGGGGGAAGCACTGCCGTTGGCACGAAGAAGACACACGAGCCGAAGCAGAAGCCATGGAGACACGGCGAGGTTGCGCGACACCACGTGCCACCGGCTGTTTTGCCAGGTTGGTTAACAAGTGGTTTGACAGTGTGATGCTAAGTTCTGGTGTTCACTTTGTTGCTTGATGGATCTGACCAAATACAGCGGTTGAATAATAAGTTATGGACATGGTGCAACCATGCGGAACCTATTGGGGATGGTCATGGTCATGGCCGACTTTGGTCTAAATCCTCATCAAAAACTGGAGCAGCTTTGGCGAGATGCCTTTGGACACCGTATCTTCCTTGTGGTGACCGAGTCCATCTCTTTTTTACAGTACCCAAAGATCTCCCGCGAGATTCTGGAAAGTCACGAACATTCGTACGTAGCTGTCATCTCTGCAACAACAGTCCCCAGTCCCCCATAGTTCCACGGCCTATTGTCGTCATTGGGTACGGTAACCCATGATTCCTAAACTGAATGACATCCTAAACATGACATCCCACCTTTCTGGGGATTGGACTCAATTCGAAACCCACAATTTTTCAAGGCATTGGACACGTGTGGGTTTCCAAAACCCCCACATTGGACACGTATGGCTGTTCCATAAAGACCGCGTCTTGGCTACACCAAACCAACGTCAGTCACCAGGACGACACCCCCGACGGGCTGGCGAATGGACACCCCATGATGCTGCTTTTCGCTGGATGATAGACAGACACCCCGAAACGGGGAGTCCTGGCACCGTCGAGCTATATATTTATATGCCTAGAGACGGAGTGACCTCTGTTTTGACCGGAAAAGACCACATGTTGAGTGGTTGGTGGTCCAAAATAGCACTCAGGTTCCAGGCACATCTTGTTAACCAACCCCAATGAATGGCGTGAATCGATATTCTCGCCGCCAAAATTCAGCGCTTCCATGCGCCCGAGTAGTCGACATCGGGGCAGGTGGTGCACCAGCCTTCCCTCGCAGCCTGGGAGGTGTTTTCTTCGAAGCAACGCCTACAAAGGTTGAACAGCATAGCACATCCATGCCCATCCTATATTATGACCATTATAGTTAACATGCGTATGTCCCTGGCTGTCTCTGCGGTCCCATACAGTTCGGTCGGAATCTTTCAACCTCTGCGGAAAGGACCCATCCAGTGGCACACGCGGCAGACAATCCATTGACTCGGTTTCAGTCCAACAAATGTTTCTTCCAAAGGACTCCTTATGCGGGGGATTGTTGATTGGCATGTGTTTGCATGTGTTGGGAAGCAGCTGTCAATCTACCTTGCATTATGCAGTACTTGTGGCAAAGTAAAAAAGCAAGACTCAGCTGGTTCACACAGAAGTCTACTGAACACCCGATAACCTCAAAAAAAAGGGGCTCGTAACAGACACCCCTTTGGGGGGCCCTTGTAAGAGTCTATGTAGAGTGACTCACTCACCACTCCTTGGATCTTTGGGATCGCTCATCACTCCCACTGCTTCGAGCGGAGAGCATGTCGACCGCACTGCATAGAGGCCGGAGCTGCTGGGCAGGGCCTTCAGCGATTCCTTGCGTTGCACCGGAGCCAAAGTGGCCACAAGGGCGCCACACTGCGCCACATGAGACGAGATCTTTGCGGAGCTTGTCATGGGATGATCATCTACCATCATCTACCAAGTAAATCCCTCTATATAGGGTTCCTGGCCTACCTCCGTTTCGAAGGTGGTTAGGGTGTGAGCCAGGTGTCGGGAATGACCTTCCTTAGTCATTCTTTCCGGTCCGTACCCGACAGAGGCTGACAGGCAGCGCGGTCTGTCAGCTGTGGTGTTTGAATCTCACGCTCTCACTGACACAAGCTGTCTGGGACTGGAATAGGGCGGCCCGCTGGGAAAACACGAGAATCACCCCAATGCTTTCGGTACCCTCTGACAACCCCTAACATGGAAGTGGAGCTTTCCACCTGTTTGTAGAGGAGAATAGTCCTCCCACACACCGAGCTTTCCACTTCCATGTTAGTGTCGGAGTCTGAGGGACCGGAATATGCCCAACGACGCGACGCTCGACGCGACCGATGCGCGTTTGTTTGTACCGATCAGGCCAGGGGTTTTCTTGGTTTCAGTGGTCAGCTTGTTTCAACTTGTCCATTGGTTGCTTTCTTTTTCAAGCATCTCAAGATATCTAAACACATTCAGTTTGGAGAACCTCATAGAGAAATTGGCAGTTTCTAAAAGGACCATGTTTCACGGCCACGTGTTGCATACGTCACATTTGGTCTCTTGGTTTCTACGCTGTGGTGGTATGTCTTGGTCACGGTATGTCACGGAACGAGACACCCTGTCATGCATGAGTCGACGGAGAGCGCTGGAGGTCTGGTCAGATGTCCCGGCTGCCGTTCTCACCCGACGGTCCTGGGAGAGAGCCGACCGCTGTGGTGGATAGTGAAGGACGGTGAGGTGTCAAGTCATGAACCTCCGAGGTTTTCGTCCTAAGTGAGTTGTTTTCAGACCCTGGAAGACGATCCCATGGACCCTGAAAAACCACTGGTTGGTAGAGGAAAGCACTCGGACCCAGGGGGCCCTTGCCAGGGTCCATGTTAGTTTTCGGGAGTGTATCACTTCTAAGACACGCTTTTGGAGAGGCAAGAAAAAGAAGACAAAAGGGATCATCCGGTCAGAGGTTTTGGGGATTGATTTCTATATCAACCTGAAGAATCAGGAACAGATTAAGATTCACTTTGGTTGCCCAGAAGAACAACTGAGGGTGTATGATCAAGGTGAATGGGTGAGGCGCTAGGTAGCTTGAGTGCACTAGTGACTATAGTCTTGGGAACGTGAGAAGCATTCGGAGAGCGAGAGGAGACATGTTGACCAGTTCCCTTGAAATTGCACTTATAATTCATTTCTTCATTACCTTCAAACGCATGCTGGGAACCTGGAAATGACATGAGATGAAACGGGATTTAATGTAAGTTTCCATTGTGCAATGGACTTTGGAGGTGTTTGTATATGTTGTTTCCGTTGATGGCGTTTTGGTCTTTGTTTTGCGGCGGAGGCCCTCCCAGGATTCTCCGATCCCTTTTCCACAGTCGACTCGACAGCCGACGTCCTTCCGATGTGGAGGACGTCGCGTCTTTTCGAGAATCACGTGCAAACGGAGCAACGTGCCAACAAAACTTCGACATTCAGCCCATGTGCGGAACGTGCGGAATGCGCGTAACGGCAGTGGGGAGGATATTCCGGTGGTGTGCAGGATTTTAGCAGACTCAGCATGTTGGTCACGCTCACTCCTTAGATCAGTCAGAAATGGTAGTATTGATGGGGATGGATATCCCCATACTTGAGTGAGGTTGTGACACTGGTTATGGTAGGAATATCGGTGACGCTGATTATGGTAGGAATATTCCGGATGTCTTGCAAGTGGAAGTTGCCGGAGTGACTTTCTTGGTGCCTTCCTTTGAAACATAAGACACTGCAAGACCAATTATATCTTTGATATGAACTACATTGATCTGCCTGATTTTCACCCTATCACCCATCTAGCAGGTGTGACCAATCTAGCAGGGCACCTGCTCCTAAACCTGCAAGGTCAGAGGCACCTTTGTTGGACAACATCCAGGGCAGCCCCTCTTTGGTTCGTCTTCCCTTAAAGTAAGAACCCCTGGCCGCTGAACAGCTTTGGGCCGGTTTGAGTCTGCTCAGAGCAGCCTCGATCCAACTGGGGGCTCTCCCTATTGGAATCTATGCGCACCCGTAGTCGCCATCCATTAAAGGTGGACCGACCTGGGTTTTGTAGTGTGAAACCCTTGTGAAACAATGAGCTGTTTTCCAACCAGGGTATAGTGTTTTCCTCCAAATAGAAAGAAACGCCACGGCATCGCCTGGCCACACTGAGCGACGCCTGTATAAAGTGCGGCCCCTCCAGTAGGTGAAGCTTCATACGGCCCCTCCAGTGTGTCTTTGATGTCATTTTCCATTGGATTTGGTTATTGAAGACTCTTGGTTGTTATAGACTGTCATAGACTAGTTTATGCCAACGGTCATTGGTAGATGACCATCACCAGTGTGTTTACAGCAAGTGTGTTGGGGTCATTTTCCACTGGATTTGTGGGGTCTTTCCGGTTGTTTAAGGGGGAACTCAGATCCTCGGATCCAAAGTTGTTCGGCCCACATATCGACGATTCACGCAGTGAGAATCATGTGATAAGCATCGGACTGGGGATGCAGGCGTGGCAAAGTTCAGCCATCCAGAATCAATTCGGGCTTCGACTCGCAGCCATTGATGACATACAAAGACCCTTGCCAATGCCATTGGAATGAATGAGTAGACCCAGAGACTCCAAAAAAATACCCTGAAAACGAACAGTCTTTGAGGGTGCCGAAACCACAGGGTCCATGTGAGTCTGGATGCTTCGCAGCACTTCCAACAGAAGGCCAACCAAGCCCACTGGAACTCAACCTGTTTGCAGCTACTCCGGTCCACCTCATCACCTGTTGATACACTCGAAACTCCTTTGATATCGGAAAAAAAAAACGACTTCCCAAGTCAACTGGAACCGTGACTGGAACTGGGGTCTTCGACCCACGGCGCCATGTTCCGATCCACGGTGTGCATGGTGCGGAAGATGTGAGGGGTGCCCAGACGGCCCGGGGAGGTGCTCAGCAAGGGAAACACAGCGGCAGGCTGAAGGAAGACACGCAGATCGGAAGCCATTGTGGAGAGGGACATCCATGGAAATCTCATGGCCAGTGTACTCGTTTTATTCTATATAAATCCAATAATTGTAATATAACCCATATATATAATATATATGTTGTATATAATTTATATATATATATAATACATTGTTTGATTGAATGAGTGTTTGGAATCTCACGTGGTTCAGTTCGGTTTCCACGGGGTGCTCTTTCTTGGATGCTTCTGTTTGCATCCAAGCAGCAGAAACACACCTGCCCTGCGCCAGAACTGCAGGTTCTTGCCCTTCTATTCGAAGGACCTGGCCACGGATGTCGCTCGTGGGAACGACGTTGGAACTACGATGCCACCCTTAAGCTTCAGTGGAGATGTGTTTTTCCTTTGCAGTCGGGTGAGTGGTTGTTTTCGTGGTTTCTTTGGTTGTTTTCGTGGTTTCCAATGAAGTGGCAGCGCGTTTCTGTGGTTGTTGCTCCCTCATCTCAGGGAAATGCACGCAGGGAGGGACCTAGGTAAAATGCATGCAAGCATTCTTCGGGTGGATTTACCCTCAGGGAACACTCCAGGTCACTCCAACCAAAGCCAGCCCGCAGAGTTCGGGGATGTCTCACGTAGGTGGCAGGGGATGTTTCCTTGTGCATTAGCTCGATTAAGTGAAATACACATGCAAATGTTTCCGTGAGAAGGACTTAGGCAATGTTTGGAATCAGGGCTTAGTAGTAGCAGTAGTACTAGTATCAGCATTAGTATTAATGTATTACTATTAGTATTGTCATTATTAGCAGATAGTAATAGTAGCTGTTGCTGGTGTTCTTGTCGTTGTTGGGTGGTTTTTTTGTGGTTGTGGTTGTGGTTGTTGCTTTAAGCAAACGCACGACAGCCCGAGGTCATCAGCAATAGCCTTGTCAAAGGGCTGTCAATTCTGTGTGTTGTGATTGGGCGGCGCATCCGGGCGAACTCTTCGTTCGACACATGCATGTCCCCAAAAACCGCGAACGCACCTCGAACCGGGCCGCATCATTTGTCATGAAGAACCCAGATGTCCCTCCAGTCAAGGCCTATTCCCCTGTTTACAGGGCTTGAAGGCTTTCCCTCCAAACCTGAGCGTGTAAGTTGACGTGACATGAGCGCGCTGAAATTGCGCAGAAACGAACGACGGTTACTTGTAGAACATTGAAGGAAGAATATAAGGGCTCCCAAACTGATGTACTCAGACAACGCAAAGCGGACACTTGCACCAGATATCTAAATTCGATCACAGCAGGCATTTAACAGGCCCCCACCCTCAAGACATGAGGGATGGTTGTTGCTTGGCTGTTGTGAGTGGTTTGACACCCGAGCCCCGCAACGCCGCCCGTGGCCACGCCTTGTGGCGATCCTAGCCAGATCTTCTCAGCAGATGCTCTCCCAGATTTTTGCCACAATCATATATATGATATGAGTCATATGGATGAAACACATAACCGCAGTGTCTACTGCTACTGCTTCTGAGCTCCAGCTGCATGAGATTGTTCCAAGAAGGTATTAAATATTCTGAACAGTCGTTTCTAGCTGCTTGGCAGAAGGAACTCCGAGAAATGTTGGGCAGCCTTGGAGTCAACGCGGGCGTGAAACAATCAGATTAGTGAGAAGCGGTCAAACCTTTGTATCTACGTGTTGGGCTGAAAATTTGTGTTTTTTCAACCACACAGTTATGACCTTAGATATTTTTTACATAGAAAAAACAAAAACCAAAATATGAATAATACAGCCGCATAAAGAACATACAAAAAATGATGCGGAAAATACCAAAATACAACAGATACAACATGCCAAAAAAACAAACATACAAATTACAAACACATACAAGAAATACGACCCGCAAAAAAAACTACAAAAACAATACTACGACCCGCAAATTGCAAATACAAAAACATACGACCCGCAAAAATAAATACAGAACCTACACAATTGGCCGAGACGGATTGCAAAACCAAATTGTGTGTTTTTTTTGTTTTGCTGGCGTGTCGACGAGGGTGCTTGCTGATTTTGTGGCCCGATTGCTTTTGGATTGATTTGGCCAACAGCAAATTCGCGAAAATACTTCTTGAACACACATAAGGACAACGTGACTCAAAATTCCATTACCTTGGTGGGTGCTATTTGCATGGTAGTCCTCATTTGAGTATGTCGTTTGGGAACCAGGGGCCAGTTAGGACGTTGAACCATGCCGAGGGATCGGGCATCGGATTCCAAGGGGTTGAAGTGGTGGAGCAAGAGTGTAGAAGACCTTGTAGCAAGAGTTTGGAGTGTAGCCATGACCGACCTCCCAAGGTCCAATCATTTTGCAATCCACTTTGGCCACTACTTAGATGGTCGTTTTCCATCGTTATTCTCAAGTGTGGCCCCATTCGATCACTACACCCCTGCAGGGCCCACTCTGCCCCATTCGAGCTCCAAAGGATCGAGCCAAGCGGAACCTCTCAACCACCGTTTTCGCCTCCCCACCATAGGAGGCACAGCTCACCCATTATCTCAAGCGATGTTTTTGTTTTTTCTCGCAGTGAGCACGCATTTTCTGCTGGACGAAGAGGACGGTTGACCCGTGTTTGAGTTTTTTGTTGGTTCCATTTTCATCCGGGCGTGGGTGGAGGAGCACATTCCCCATTTTTTTGGGGGGGGTTCTCCCATTGTCTCCATTCTCTTTTATCCGCGAAGTACGAGAAATCGGAGACCCGTCCAGGAGCGAGGCCCTCCCAAGATTCGACAGCAAGTGGTGGGCACTCGAGGACGGAGGCAGGTACCGCGGACGCCGGACGGTGACAGTTCGATCATATTCGAGCCAGGGAGTGGGTTTTTGATGGTTTTTGGTGGATGAATGGCAGGTGGAAGATGCACATCAGGCACCTCATGCACCCCTGAAAAATGACACAGCTCTCCAAAATGGTGGCTGAAATGGAGACGAAATGAACCGTTTGCAGGTGGTGGCCGGGCATTTTTTCGCATCCAGGTTCGAGGTGTACTGTTTTTTTGGAGCTGGAGGGAGGGATGGGGTCTGAAAAAAGAAATAGACTCACAGGAACCATCATCATCATCATCATCACCATCATCATCAGCTTGCATTTTCCTCTACAAAGGACCGTGAAATCCTCTACACCTCGCTGATCTTCACTCCGAAACGATGATTCCAGGTTTGCAAGCCCGGCTTGGCCTCCATTCCCTGATCCAGGTAAGTACCGAACCTCAGGATTGATACGAAAACGGACCCGAAAAGAGGCTGCCAGAGAGTCAATAGGGTATGGATTCCTAGGGATTGACCATGGTGTTTTCACTTGCTTTCGGCGACTCTCAAGACCAGACGACCAACGGATTTGCTCCGCGACACACACCTCAGCCCAGCGGACCTTCCGTCTCCGCTGGGAGTGACGCGGGTTTTTGTTGCGAGGTTCTTCAAGCTGGTGGCTCGGGGGGCCCAGCTTATGCGCAAGCGAGCGAGCGTGCGAGGTCCGCTCAGTGAAGGGGATGCGAGGTCAGTGAGCCAAAAGGCGTGGGGGTGGCTTCAAGCCATTGGGTACGGTATCATCCACTGACCAACAGTTCACCAAAATGTAGTATGTTGTCAGCCATCACCCGGTAAACGATAGTATACGTGACGTTTATACGTGGACAATGTTTCGTCTGGTGGGACTCTTGCCCAAGCTCCATGTCCAAGTTTGGAAGATATTGAGTTGAAGTAAGGTGACAGCCTGGAACGAAGGTACCGTAAGGGTACGTATGCTCGTGGGAGCTGCCACTAAACTTGGGGTTATAACTCGCAGTGGTTTTGCTTAAGGGTGTTTTATATTTTCCCGAACTGGGTCAATCCCGGATTCTTGAAAATACCAAACAACGCATTAAAACCTGGGGGCCTGGGGGGAAGTTGTTGTTATATTCAGGTTCCTGGACAGCCAATCCAAGATTTTATGCTATTTTACACCCTGGAAGACGATCCCATGGACCCTGAAAACCACTGGTTGGTAGAGGATAACACTCTTCCAGGGGACCATTGGACCCGGGTCTATGTGAGTGGACTCGGGAGTGTATGTTCTTACCGATTCGGGCATTGGGACCGACTGTGCCGCCTGGGTTTGACCGATTCGTCGAAACAGAGAGCGGTTTATGGTCGGTACAGATGGTGCAGATGGCCTTCAGCCAGGTTGAGAGTATGGCATCCCTGGGCACCCGCCAGATCATCCATGTAGTTATGAAGTATAGTTACTCGTCACATGATGCACATTAGGGTCATTTGGATGGGATAAATGTCTGCAACTTCCATATTGACGCTTTCTTCTAGATGCGTCTGGGGTATGTGCATTGACCACCACGCACTTTGAGCTGGGATCGGGGTCTCCTCCCAGCGAAAAGCATTGGAGAGAGGGCTCTCTCCGAGGCATGTAACCAGAAGGACCCGCAACAAGGCAAGCACATGGAGGCAGGGCGGCAGGGCTTCGTCCGTGCAGCTCGGACCATCCCAATGCTTCCGCTCGCGAGGCTCGGGCAGGACGAGTAGGCTAGTCTATTGGAGACCGCGAACAGCGGATGGTCCAGACATCCATTCCCAGACCATGCCATGTATGACCTATGTGCCTACGTGGTTGTGGTTCCAGGGTCAATGCTCAATGCAGGCATATATATATATAACTATGTATATTCCATACATGGATGGTTTGTGCTTGGTTCATTGTACCTAGTCCTGAAGGAGGACTTCCATGCACTGTGGTGGACTTGCGTCATGACTAAATGTATGCAGCTTATGGCAGCTTGGCAAGTTTGTGTGTTTTGAGGGCTATCCAGATTTAATATATAGGATATTGTGAGTATGACCCGTTTTTAAAAGGACATGTCCATTGATGCATAATACATATCCAGGCCTAGGAACAGGTACTCAGACACTTCTAAGCGTGCGTTGATATGCCATGCCCTGAACGACACAAGAGCACCATGACCAAAGAGCACCCCTTGACCTTCTACAGATGGAAGAATGGCTGACACCACTTCAACGGTCCCTTGTGATGGAAGCTATCCTTCACCAGCCACCAAAAAAAACGTAAATGTTGTGGCTGCATCACTGGTAGATCTCCATCATCAGTCGGTCCAAGTTCCGGGCATAGCCAGCCGTTGAGTGTGGCTCAGGAAGGACTACACTTCGATAGGAAACCCAAACATACCCAAACCAGCTACATGCGGATACAAGCAGGAGCTTCCCTATCAACAGCTCTTCTGCTTGAAAACTCTTTTTCTCCAAACATAATCCACCTGTGTCAGTACCTCATCCACCTGGTCTCCTGCCCCACCCGAAGAATGGCGCGCAGTTTGACAGGTCCTTGGGAGCTATGCGCCCAAGGCGGATTGACATGGATTTGCGGATTGTTGTGTCACCTGCGGAGCGCGGTCATTCAGCTGCGGAAATTGGAGCGACCCCAAACGAGGCAGACGAGGTGTGGTTTTCGTACTTAGCGAGGTGCTGTTTAATCGTCCAGTTAGCTTGAGAGAGGCGAGGTGCTCAAGCTACCGGGGCATTTCACCGATGAGGCGGATGAGGCACTGCGTTCAGGTTTCAGGTTTCAACCCCAGCTGCGCAGGGGATCCCGGTCCTTTTGTCTTTTGTCCTTTGTTTCTTTTGGACAACCGAAGACGAATCCAGTGAAGTACAAGCTCACATCTTGTTACGGTGGACCATCAAGTTACAAGTACAGTGCATGGTCCAACAAGTACTATATATAACTCCATGCACTGTAACTCCAACATGTTACAGTGCATGACCAACAAGCGTCGTTGGGATCCGCTTCGTGCGCAGGCGAAGTCCAACGTGAAAGAGATCCGCTTGCGCTTCTCACGGGTCAAGGCCAGGGAAGAACCGGTCAACGGTCGTTTTCGTCGTTGGTCGTAAGGAAGGACCTGGAGTCGACCCGTTTCTTCCTCGAAAAGATGGGTACAAGATGGCAAGATGGTACTCTAGAAGTCGCTGATGTTAGGGTCATGTCCTTAGTTCTAAGTTACTTGAAGGGTCGACCCCGAGGGAGCCTGTCTAAAGCATGCTTGAAAGCACCCAGTTTGCCAGCGGTGCTGCCAGGCGGCCAGGGTGTCCAAAAGAAACCAAAGCAGCGACCCCAACATGGACCTTCAAGGACTAGTGCCTGATCCAGCCATTGGTGGGAAGAGGGGAAGAGCACGTCAAGTTTTGAACGTGAGCTTGTGTTCTTTTGCATCCCCGCAGGTCAGTTCGACCTCATGAAATACTGGAGTTGGTCATACACAAACACAACTCGATGAGAGATTTTACTGGTGTCAGACTGGACCTGTCGGGCGCACGTGGCGTACTGTAGGAGTCATAGAGCTTCAGAGTTGATTGAGGTCCGAGCTACCCAGTCTTTTGTTCTCGGCCGGTTGTTTGATGGGGGGACACTGTGTCTGACCAGAGACGCCCAAACCAGCTTGCGCCCACGAACTCGACGTGGTGTCAGTTCTGGCCAGTTCTGGCTGGGTGTGGGTGCCGAGTTCAATGATGGCACCAGGCAGGACTGGGGACGACGGGCGTTGGTCTGGCTGGATCCACCAGAGAAAAATCCACCTCCTGCAGTTGCAAAGGAGAGTTGCCGAAGCGTTCATCTCCTTTCTTTCGCTTGATGGTTTGGTAACCGTGCCTTGCTTGGGGGCCGTTAGACGGGTTCAACGTGAATTCTTTTGCATTTGCTGTTGTGATGCCTCTTTCAGATGATCCTTAGGCCGAAAGAACACTCGGCCTCCAGCTTAGTGGGAAACACCCATGGCAGGTTAGTATGGGGATTGGACCCGATGGGATCGTCGAAACCATTTCTCACTCGGTCCAAGGGGCAGATCCGATCTGCGCAGATCATGCGTGACACCTGTGACATGCGACATATCTCCAGCTTGGGGTGGGGCAGTTCGTGGTACGTCTGGCGTGAACGACAGCAATTGGTGTGATAACTGGCGGATGCTGGCTGATGATCAGTTGGTGAATTCCTCGGTCATCCTGCCAAGATGCATGGAAGTTTGGTTCTTGTAGTAGGGTAGGAAACTGACTTCATGCAGTGTGAACTGACTTCGGTATGAATCCTTTAAACGGGAGAACTGAGATTTGAGGAACGTGACCGAGTCTAGGAACGTCCTCAGTAGGTAGTTGAATGAACATTGGTTGATGTTGCCCGGAGGGGGGTTTCCCGGGGTTCCCCCCAGTCATTGTTCTAACAGTTCTTAAGGTAGTTGATTATATATGAAGTATGTTGATATTAGTGGAGTATCACTAGCAGGTGGAGTAGTTCGCAAGCCGCAAGGTCTGAGGCCCAATAGAAAGAAGAGATTCCTGCACGCTAGGCATGTGTTGGACACGTGTTTTTTTCTAGCATTATCTATTTGGAGGAAAACTATACCCTCGGCTTCCAACCACCATTGATTCAATATCCTTATAATTACAATGTGTTTAATGTATTACAATCCTTTACCGAACGACCACGGTTATAAGTTATAAATATTTTACACATTTTTACACTACAAAACCAGGTCAACCAAACTCGTTTTCTAGTATATCAGGGATGAAGGGGCTCCTCGCAAGATCGCCGAAGGCAGCTGCTGGCATTGGCGAACCTGATTCCCACGGTGGGAATCCTGGTGAAACGATGGAGCAGTCTGGGGAGGCGTGTTTTCAGGCTTTGGTTGGGTCTTGACCTGCATGCTTGGCGATGTGTGCATGATTTGCACGTTATGGTTGATTCGGTGTCGTTTTGCAAGGCTGGCTAGTTTGTTTGTTATACAATATCATTATACAATTATATTAGATGTTTTGCGTCATGCTTTGCTTGTTTGCCTGTCTGGCTGGCTTTAGTTTGATCGTTTCAAGTGCAATTCCTTGGGAGATGATCAGGGAGAGATGAGGGGTTCACCATCATGGCTGGGATGCCGAACGGAATCAATCTGAAACTGCACAGAAACGACTGTCAGATCTTGACGCTTGCACTCTGAAGCAGCACAAGACCTGGGATCGTGTGCAGCTGTGTGTGCTGTAAGCAGTAGCAGTATCAGCGCACCAGATAGGTACCTCGAGAATGCAGTTCAACCAAACCCCAAACGCAGCAGACTGCGTCACCCGGCCGAGTCATGTGGCTGGTCAGTTCACTCGACTCCACCGAACTCGGTAGCTCCATGTTGGGTCGCATAGCTCCATGTTTTGCGGATCAGGTTATTCTACATATCGATATATGGGTTTTATTCCTCAAACCTGGGAAATATCCATGTTGGAACGGGGTCCGGGTGAGCAAGTCCAAGCTATTCGGTTCATTTTCACCAGTGAACCCCCAGGTTTTCCTGGATTTGGTCTGGGAGCCACACAGCGCTAGCTCGCTCGGCTCTCTAAGCATGGAGCCTCCATGGCTCCAGAATTCCATGTGTTGCCTCCCCTACGAGGTGTGGAGACCCTGTTGAACCATACCACATATACCACACTCAGTTGATACAGTCACCTGCAACATCTTTTCTGGGTGATGGATTTTCCCACTTCATATGAACAGGTATAGATATATAAAGGGTAACCATGGTTAACCTTTATTTTCCAGGGAATCAGAGGGAGTCAGAAACTGTTTGTTCTGGGTACTGCCCCTCCAGATGAACATGGAACGCCGATATTCAGAAAATGGTCGAAACCACGGGGGCAATCCGTAGATGTTCATGTGAGTCTGGAGGTTACGAACATGTCGTGCTGTGCCAACCTACCACCCTCAGATCACTCTTCACCGCGCCGTGCCCAGCCGCCACCTTTGTTTGGACACCGGACGAAGGGCCACTACCAAGAACTGCAGAAGGCGACGAGACCGACGACGGTCTGCGGTCATGCTAGCTGCGGTCGTCTTCTACCGCGCCTGCGCGGTCTGGTGGGTCGGGAGGAGGTCGGGATCTCCGGTGATCTCCGGATCATCGTACTCAACATCTTGAACAACAGGTTGAAACATGGGGACCCGAACCTAAGAATCATGGGAACCTAATTAAGATGTTCCTCTCCAACTGTTCGAAGTCCCATTTTGGTGCAACCAATGGGGGTTCCTCCAAGCCAGACGAGCTCGTGCATCAGTTCAGTTCTGGCCATGTTAGGCCCGACCAGACCGGTGGAGGGTCCAACACCGGAAACGACGTGGAACGACGTCCAGGTATATGAAGCTATAGTGAACCCAGCTAGTTAAACCGGTGCGTTACTAAAGAACTGGTTAAACTGGTGCGTTGACCCACTAGTTAATGTTGGATGTGAAGTTTGAGGACTTGGGATGCCACTTAACGTGCCAGTGAAGCTTAAGCAGTGACCGGGCAGCGACCGCGACCGGGCGAACCCGGGGTCACTTGAGGTTCGTTGGAGTAGAGGGGGTTGGCACTTCGTCTGACCGAGTCCGAGGAAACCCGCCTGGAAAAGGTGATGCAACTGGAAATGGTCAGAGAAGGTCAGTGCCATCCGAATTCTCCTGATTACTTTGGTCATCTTTGGGCCTTTTGGCATGAACGAAGACCAAACAGGTAGTTAAACTACCCACAAACACATGAATGATTGACCAGGGTACGTGGAAGACCCCACCACGTACCCGTCGACATACCCACGTTCCACGAACGTGAATGGACGAGTTATAGACTTCCACGTTCAAACCATGTCTGACCCAACCACGTTGACCAGTCCATCGCAACTCTTCCAGTCCTGTGAATAAGCTGCATCCGGCCTACACGGACCCATCAGTCTGCAGTCTTTGGATGGTCTGGTCAGTCGGCACCAGTCTGGACAGACGGTATTTGTGCACACCAAGTGCACACCAATGGCTGGTGTCTGAGAAGAGAACAACTCGAGACTCTGCAGTACAACCAACTCTGCGCATGGTCCTGAGGCACCTCCAGTTGAACCCTTGGTCTTTCTCACGGATCAAATCAACAGAACCAACTACTGAGGACGTCAACCCCGAAGGCTCAAAGGGCTTCAGGTGCCCCCAAGACTCAGTCGAAAAGTACACGTCTTTTCCAGTCGAACGCCCTTTCGCAGGTCATGGAGCGACGCCAAGAAGCACATGAGGTGCAGAGCTGTCTCTGTCGAGCGGTGACGATCGGTCACGAAAGGTGACACTAGGTGACGCGTAGCGCTTGCACTAGTTGGAAGCGCCCAAATGAGTAGACTAAGCATTTGGGGGGGTGTTCTCTATATAGTGACTATAGTGAGATGCTTGAAGACACAGAGGGGGGATGTAACTTAGGGCCAGAACTTCTGGTCATTCTGGTCAAATCCAAAATTGGCTGTGGTTGCTAAATGTGTGAGCTGGATCTACTTGCTCTCCGAACTTTTTGCAAAAAGTCGAAAAGTCGCGAAAAGTCGAAAAGTGCACGAAAAGGCAACTTATGATAAAAAGAGTCACCCGCCAAAGGGTCCCGGGGCTTGCCGGGTCCTTTTGGCGGGCATCTCTTTTTTTGAAGACGTTCCTGCTCGAGGCTGACTCACTTTGACACGGCTGGAGATGTCTGGAAAACAGCAACCTAGCCATGCCTATATCTGTAGGAGCAAAAGCAACGTTTGGATCAATTCTGCTAGACTTTAACTTTGTTGAAGGGCACGGCATGTGACTGGTGTCCAAAATCTCGAAAAGTCGAAACGTCAAAAAGTCTCGAAAAGTGAGAAAAGTCAAAAAGTCTCGAAAAGTCGAAAAGGCTCGCTGCGTGCTTTCGTTTCCTTTTCCTTTTTGACCTTCGTCAGTCCAGTGACCAAAAAGACTGGCGAAGTCAGCCACGTCGTGACAGAATAAGTCGGGTGGAAAAGGACTTGCCCAGCAGAGTGCTGCAGGTGGGCCTGTCTCGAGTCTTACCCAGCGAATCCATGCAACTCCCCAGGAATGATGAAGACTGTTACTACTTTTAGGTATGTTTTGGTAAAGAGAGCTATGTCTATGTGTGCTACTCAGTTGTTGACTTGGCGCAACAGAGGTATCTCCCCTCTCCCACTGCTGCACATGCAAATCTCCAGCAGCCGCAACAGCTCCATTGATGGCCAGGCTGCAGTGCGGGCGTATCACAAGAACGCCCGGGTGCCGGGGCTCCATGTCCGGTGGCCCAGAACGAAGAGAAGAGATCTTGCTTGGAAGGAGGAGGGATGTTTGAATGGATGGATGTGTCACATCCATTGAATGTTTTTTTTGATTGAAACTACGGTTTTCTATATATTTTTCATGTATCGTTTCCGGATTTCAAGGTTGCTGGGGTCATTTGTGGGAGAAACCTCCTCCGATACCAGGGACAACGATGGAAGTGGAAGACTCCCATGGAAGACCCCTCCGCGCATCAGCGAGACTCAGCAAGACCCTCCTGAGGTCAGATAATCTGACGCCGGCGGATTGCGGATGGCGATGTCAAAGAGCCGCGCTTGGGTGGCGAGAAGTGGTGCGAAGTGCTTTTGGTCGAAGGAGGAGTGCCAGTATCTAGAACATTCTAGAACAACCTTTGAAGTGAAAGAAAAACGTTGTTTGTGAGTATAGAGTCAAAGGTGTGTCGGCCGTGTTCATCAATGTTCCACTTCCATAATTGTTGGATATAGACTTATTGTCCACGATCAACCGATCAACCACCTTAGACATATATAGACGACTTATTTGTCACGATCAGCCGCCTTAGATCGCCAATGTTGCTGTTACCCACCATGGTTACAATATCATAGTTGGAGGCTGTACAATCTCCGGAGCTCCACCTTCTCAGGGTGTGTGGATTTCTGGGGAATGATACGGAGAAGAGCAGAGCCTGGTGCCCAAAGGGCCCAGCTTTTTGGGCGACTCAAAGGCGGATGTTTTGTGCGCCAAAGATGGATAGTGGGCTTCTGCCAGATCAGCCAGACCTCAAGTTTCCGTGGGAATGCCTTTGAGATTATTAGATGTTATTAGCACCATTTAGCACCTCAAGTGGGTTTAGTTCAAACCTAAACCGCGAAAGCAGCAGAGCATCCACACATCGTGCTATTCCATGCTATTCCTAAGCGCCGTGATGCATGCTCTAGGTGTTTCATTTTGGACCCACAGGCAAGTCTTCAACGATGTTTGCCTAGTCCAGTGCACCCAAATATGTCTACAAGTGGGTGCTTCGTGCCAACTACTTGGCTCGCCAGTGCTTGGCTCTCTCTCTTGCCGCGTAGCAACGGACGTTGTTTCGCTCCCCTTGACCTCTCTTGACAGGCGGAGCAGCGGGCTCGGTGGTGGGGTCCGGTGGTCCTAGGTGTTGGTGACAGAATGCCTACCCAGGTTTCGTACGTGAATCACCTGCAGGTCACTCTTTTTGGATGTTGTTTCCTCACTGGGCAGATAGAACAGATGGAAAAAGGTTCACCTTTTTATGTATTTTCCTGGGAAAGTGAGGGGTCAGTGATGTAGCAGTGGTTGTTCAGTTTGATGTGGAGTTGTACTTTCAGCTGGAGTATTTGTTCAGTCATTTCTCCAGTGGAAAAGATGGAACCCCAGGTTTGTGGTTGTGTTTTTTTGTTTTCTCTCTTTGTCTCTCTCTCTCTCTCTCTCCCACTGTGAGGCCGTTGTAAGATTGTGACGACCATGGTCATGGGCAGGGTGGGTAGTAGGACATATCATGCGTTCAATCCCAGCCGTTTCCATGTCGGAGTGGTTGGACTCGACCCGCTCCTAACGAGTGGATGGTCGCCTCGCACCCCTGTCCAATAGGCACCGATTTGGAACTGCTGGTCAAAGTCCTGAGTTAGCACCATCTTTAGCACCCCCTATAGTCAGGCCTCGGGCTTGGGCCATTTTGGGCTGTCGCATGTCCAAGAGTTGCCAGCACCATTAAACACGAATGTTTCTGGGCGAATGAATGTTTTTTGTGTTGTTTCCATCAACAGCATCAATTAAATGTGGATACGTTTGGCCATGTGCTTACCGTACCTTTTTTGAGCGAAGGCGTATGTTTTAACCACAGGTGGCACCTTTGGACGCACAGCAAAAAGTACAGGTGATGAGTGTGGGAACAAGCACAGGGTTGGGCAATCAGGCAGTATAGGCATAAGAAAAAGACGAGAAGACTAAGATCCTAAATGGTAGATATCTGCCCACTAGAGTCTGGTACTACACTCCTACAGTCTGGGAAAAACAAAATAACCTATAGACAATCCTGGACATCTTGGCTTTGTAGAGGAAAAGGGTCTTCGGAAGACCCGTTTTCGCGTCGATTTGGCTTCCAGCCACCCTTGGAGATCGAGATCGCGTCACGCGCACGCGCTGGTGCTTGGTACTATAGCCATGTTTTTGGCATGTGTTTGCCTAGATTGCAAGGAAAGTCTGAGACTGAGCTCATCAAATTATCTAGTGCGCACTGCGTTATGCTGCTGTTGTTTACGCCCTGGTTGGCTTCGAAGCCTGTTGACCCTGGAAAACTGACATGGTCGGGTTTGGCTTCTTTGTCCGGTGCTCTCGTTGGACACAGTTTCACACCAGGCCCCCACAACCTCACCAAATTCATGCCTCAGCGTCACCTCTGTGGTTAGGAAGATGCTCACACGATTGCCGGGAACGCCGAGTGTGGTGGCGCTGTCACCGGCGAGCGCGGAGACTGGCAGAGGCGACGGTGTATAGTGCACCTGACCTGGCGCAGGTCTGGCGCAGGTCTTTGGACCGAACACTGCAAGTCATTGAGAAATATTCATTTCCAGGGGTCACAAGACGGGGTGGTGTTTGGTCCCATCCCGTGAGTGGATGTTCTGGGCACCCCGACTTCCTCCATGGATCGCACCCCGTCGAACGTGACTCCTGGTTCGAGAGTGTTCACATGAAGGATGGTTTGCTTTGCTGGCCAAGGGTTTACCTGTGTGCACTCGCCTTTGATGTCCTTGCAACCATTGGGTTGGCAGGGTTGAGACTCAAAATTCTTCTCCCAGACCATCCTTAGTACTGATGGACTAGGAGCAACATGTAGGTTAGCTATACTCCAGTCCCATGGATGGCTTTTGACGCTTGGCGAAAGGACCACGCATTGCTGCTTCAGTGTCCGTGGTCCATGGATTACGACCGATCCGCTTCCGTTTGATGATCTGGAAGAGGGGGGTTCACATCGATTGAGGGGGCCTGAGGGGAGAGTGTTTGTTGCAGCGATCCGTACCTATAGACCATCTGTTTCTTTGGGGTGTCCACAGCAGCTCGCTCCCGTGCTGTAGAGATCTCGCTTTGCATGTATGTGACTTGGAGATGCCGCCAATCAGCGCACCCCAAACGTCCGGATGGTCCGACGGTTTTTTCGGTCCTAGCACATTCAGATCCCAGAGGCATCCAGACGGGTTATGGGAGAGGAGTTGTGTTTGTTGCAGACTCAGTTGAATCCTGGAACCCTGTAGGGACGATTCGTTTTGACCCACCCGCCGTGCCGTCGACACGTCGACGTCTGGCCGAAGCTGGCCATCCGGTGGCCATCCGATGCGTCGTCTTTCTAAGGATCGTCGTCAGCCTTTTGCGAGCCTGTGTGGTGAGAAGCCTCAGGTCCATGGTCGACGGGATCTTGGGCAGCCGAACGGGCCGAGTTCGGGAGGTTCTTCGCGTAAGAATTTGAAGCCTCCTGGGGAACCTGATCCATGTCTCCGTGGACGAGGTCAATTGTTTGTATCCCCAACTTGATATAAAAACCAACATCCTCCAACTTGACAGGCAAACTTCACACAGAAGCTCTGCTGCACACCTATGAAATACAGAACCTGGTGAAAGAGAATATGGATCATTAATTATGGATCTATTCATCCAGGTCAGTGCTGACTTTTTTTTTGTTTTAGAACTGAGCTTGCATGAGCTCACCATGCCCAGACAACGTCGGGACTGGAATTCGTGACATTTGACCCCGGGGCCCATGACATACCCAAACCCTAGGGCTCCAAGTACTTCCTCAAAAGGCATTTGGACCCCTCCAACCCACTCCAAACACCTTCTGAGGAAGTATTTGGAGCCCCAAAGTGGGAAATGAACCCATAGCCACGGTGCTTGCACCTCGTCGTCTCACGGAAACGCTCTAAAACGCCGCTGAGTCCACACAAGACATGACCGTGATGAGTGAAGAAACACCGAACCCTGTCGACAGCGTTTGGCCTTCTTCCCCACCACGACCCTCTGGGCGTGTTAGCGATGTTGGAGCTCCCTCACCCAAGATCGCCCAGCTGGTTCACCAGGTCTGCCATACTCTGCCCATCTCTTTTCACCCTTTGATCTCCCCAGTTCTTCGGCCTCCCGTCCTCGTCCTCGCCACGTCCGTCCTCCGGGTTCCGGCGCCATGGGGGTCGGGTCGTGAAAATGGCGTCCGATGGCGCTGACTGAGGCCGCGGAAGAAGCGGCTTCGGCTGCTTCGCCCACGGAACTCTTGGACTGGTCCACAGGCCGAAGGACGTCGGACGCTGGGTCAAACGCCGCACGTTTCGTGCGGAGGAGCGGTGCGGGGGTGGGCGAAACGGAAGTACTCGAGCCTTTGGGGGGGTGGGACGGTCTAAACGATTTGTGCCCTCTAGTTGATGCAACCCCCCACTGGTTTTGTATTTCGCGGCTTCACGCGCTTCTTACGCAGCCCTGGTGACTGCAGTCGGAGCTGAGTGATCAACCCTAGGGATCCAAGTACTTCCGAAGGTGGTTTTGAGGCAGAGGCAGATGATTAGGCAGATAAATATCGATGCGGACACGAATAGAGATGAATAGAGTATATTTATTCATGAATGGTGAAACTGTACCAATCCCAGACCGGATGAACGGGACTCATGGCACTTCGGGTAGATGAAAGCCTGTGAACGTTTCCCCCAGAAAAACTCCATGACCCTCGACTGGGACTGGAAGAGTTACCTATATATTGGTGATAGAATAAATGCATGGGTGTGTATTTAACCCCGCTGGAAGGTTCGGAGAATAGACCAGTCTACCCAGCCAGGGGTGATCAGAGGATGTCCCTCTTAAAATACCAAGCTTTCATTGGACCTGTTCACCCTTCTAAAGAGGTCCTGAGCCCTTTTAAATTGGTCCATTCCGGAGTATCTCATTTGGTACTCACATGGACCCCCAAAACCACTGGGTTGTAAGGGGAAAATAGATGAAAATGGTCTTCCAGTCTGGTCCATTTTCAGGTTCCATGTAGGATCACCGGGTGTATCTACCCTCATCCAGTCGTCCCATTCGTTTGGGTCGTCCGCTTTACCGGAAAGCAGCCATTCAGACTCCTGCAAAATCGATTGCAAAGGAGGTGAAGGAGGTGGTTTGCCAAGAATCCAACAGCTATGACAAAACTCCAATTTGATCAACCTCAAGCTCTAGCTGTTTTACATTGTTTTGCGATGTTTTACTGAATCTTCTCGAAGTTGAATGCCTCCTGTTGATGGAAGACATCTTGCACTGCGCTGGGATACAAAGATGACATTGACATTCTTTCAGCTGCTCAGTAGATTCAGTAGGTTGGCCAAGCAGGTCGCCTTCTAGACACGGCCCAGTTGCTTCCGCCATGTTCCAGCTGGACCAGCCAATTCAACACGGATTTCAACCAAGCTCCGGCTTTTGGACCTCCGGTTCGCCTCTTTAGACCAGACCTGGGTCCGACACCGACCTTTTTACTCAGACTCGTTCGGTGTGGGTCCAACACACTCGGCCCTGTGAACGGACCCGTGCCTCGGAGGCTGGGGATCGATTGATCCCGGGGAGAAGGAAGACGTTCAAAAGATGGCTGGGTCGCCTATACATACGCCGGGGTACGGAGGGTCAGGTATTGGGATTGACTATGGTGGGGGGGAGTTATGCTTGGTCATTGACTATGCCAGTCCCCTGGAGTGTCCGGGTATGGATATCTATATAAGTATAATTCTATATATATATATATACATACATGGTTTTTTAGAGTAGATGGCGCAACCCCCCTGCCTACATGTGCTTTTAGATGAGGGCTCCATTTATAGGTGTGCCAGTGATTGTGCCCCATCTACTCTCCATCCGGTGGGTCTGGATGGATCTGGATGGTTTTGAGGAGGGATTTCTTGCACCAATAATCCCATCCTCCTAATAATAAACACGGCCCCCCCCCTATTAAAAAGACCTCGGTCGCATTTTTTCTAATAGGGGGTCCCTGAAATCGGGGGGGCCAAAATAGGGTCACCTGGAAAGAGTTTCAAAACCAAAAAGTAATCCAGGAAAATTTTATATAAAATCCTTTATTAAACTCGTATCAAAAATGCAAAAAACCGCCAGATCGAAGGGTCTTCCTTTTCCCCTACAAAAACCTTCATTAGAATGGTGATTCTTCAGTAGACTAACAGCTAAAGCTTTCGAAAGGTGATGTCGCTGTGCCATGCGGTGTTGCATGACCTCGGTGGCAAGTGCGTTTGCGTGAGTCCGTGCCATTGAGGGAAGGAAAGCCTGCTGGTGTAAGCGCGGCGTGTCATGGTGGAGTTTTGGGGAACCTAATTTAAAAACTACCCCCAAAATCGACCATGTTGGTAGTTTAGTAGCGGCTTGAAAGGGCGGCAATTTAAAACCAAATATTAACCGAACTTAGGGGTTCGGACGTGGTGTTTTTTTAATTGGGGAGTGTTTATTAATAGGTACTCGGGATTACAATGAATCTCGTGCTTCATGTTAAAGAGTGCAAAGGAAAGAAACGAGGTTTCCTGACACTGCATGCAGGGAGTTTGAACCTTCCAAAATGGGCGTTTCAGGCGAATGTCGCAAAATGGAAGGACTCCCAACCGCAGTGCTTTCTTCGATACTGTTCCTTTCCTATTGCCAGGGCTATGGGCATTTGATGGCATTTGTGTTTTTGTCCAAACAGACTCCCCCATCCCTTTTGAGACATCCTTTTGTTGAAATGAATCCACCATAGAATGACTTTTTACTCAATTCCGGTGTTGCAGGATTGCCTCAACAGTATATAGGAAAAAGAAGGGCTTGGCTCATGAACAGTCACACTTTTGAAGCGCGAACTGCTCAATCACTTTATTTGGTGCATGCTTCTTTGGATTGTGGAATGGATGCAGGGTAGCAGGACTTCTGTATATGGACAGTTCACTGAGTTACCAATGTTTAAATTCAGGGAACATGTGATTACTCTACCAAGTCTCTACACGTTCCCCTGTACAATGGTATTTTTTTTTCATTGTGCGCCCCAGGCTGGTTCGACCGTAGACTTCACCGTTCAAGCTGGTCTTCCTGGATCGACCGCTTTTCAACTGATCCCAACTGATTGTTATAGGTGCTGTGATTGGTCGCGCCTTAGAACCTCACTCCTTTGCTCTATACTTCTTTCAAGTGAACGTCTTCTCCCTCTGGCTCACCTGGAAGTGGGCGCCCAGGACCCAAGATGCTTGAACTTCACCGGGGATGCCATCCAACTTCCATCCTTACAACTGGGAGTGACCAGTGGAGAAACTTCCGAACGACTGGGCGCCTCGCCACGCCCCAACACGCCGCCTTCGACTGGTCAGAGCTCGCCACCCCCCAAGACACCCATCGATCGATCCGGGACGAGTACGGTGGACTTCGGGACATACCCGGTGGACCCGAACAGACGGGACGTCCCCGGAGCGTCAGCTTATCTCGCGACGTAGCGACGTTCTCGCAAATATGCGGAGTTTGAGCGTGCCTGTCGAACAAGGCATTTCATCTAACAATTCAATATGTTTAATTCCGTAGATGTCATTTTCATTAATATGATATTATACTTTTTCCAAAGATTCCTCACGATCGTGAGGCTCAGCAAGCCAAAGAACGTGAGGAAATGGCTCGAAAGGCACGGCGTTCTTCTCTTTTCTCGCACTTGGAAGAGCGGCGTGCTGCGGGTGGCAAACTTATCTCAGTGTAGAAGCTATAGGGTTAGATGAAGACTGGACTGGCACCATAGTAAAAAAGAAGAAACACCTTTGATATAATCCCAATGGATCCACATACCTTCTCAGAAGGTATTTGGACCCCCCAAACCTACATAACAGTGTCTCCGATCACCTTCTGACAAGGTATGACTGGATCCCTAGGGCCTTAGCGATTAAGATGGGTTTAATATAACTATTTCTTCACAGTACCTGAACAGATGTCGCATGGATTGCCATGGATGGTCCGGGAATGTACATTTACGATTTGGTTAAAGGACTGACCGGAAAAGTAGGACGCACCAAGAAGCCCTGGTTCATCCCAATGCCTTTAATCCTGACATTGCCGGCGACATCCGGCGACTGTTTCACTTGGAAAACAAATGCTGGACGGGTCGGGGTAGGAGGTTCCAAAATGTCTAAGTTGTCAGTGTCAATGGTTTGACCTGCCTCTCTTTGCTGGTTATAAGGGCGCTCCTACCTGATATGGCACCAAAACCATTTGGATGATTGAACATGGATGAACATGGCACACTTCTGGGACCATCGACTCAAGAATTGGGTGTCAAGACAAATTTATCGCCTCCAGGTATTTGATTCGCATGTATTTCGGCATAAGGCCTTGGCTTTCACCCGCTTGGTCATTCCGGCCAGGAGCTGACCGAAGCACGTGCCGATGAGCAGAAAGCTGCCGAGCAGCTGGGATTGAAGTGCGAGAACTTCAAAGAATGACAGGGTTTATAGGAAGCTGACACTTAAACCACGAGCTGGTTACCTTAACCACGAGTAGGTTACCTTAATCACGCGAAATACCCTGAACTCCCCATGACTCATTCTACCCCACCTGGCCCACCTGGCAGTCAAAATCCAGGACTGCACAAGGGGTAAAATGAATCATGGACTCTCTGGGACAGTGGACTGAGTCAAACCGACTGTGGAAGCAGACCTTTTGTTTCCAATCCCAGACCATCTATGGGGCATATATGATATGCCGCGGCATTGACCCCCCAAGTCACCCACCCCTGACGTTTGATGGGTCTTTTGATGCTTTTGGACGCAGACCATGCATGGAACAGATGCCGCGCCGCGAAAATCCCTGAAATCCACCACCCCACACAAAAGGTCACAGGGGTCACTCCATGTCACATGGGTCTCACATGGCTCCTGGAGTGGAGTCCCCGGGGGACCAAATCAGACACCCAGACCATCCAGACGACTCCCACCAACGGCTCCCTGCGGGGAACCGCCATGCACCCACCCTGGTCGGTCGAACCATGCGACGAAAACGGACCTCGGGTGGAGCCACAGTGGGCCACCACTGGGGTGGTTGATTTCGTCAATGAACCCCATAGGCACACAATACTAGTCCCATGGTCAGGTCAGTGGGTCTCAATGTGAGGGAGAAACGATCCCGGAGTGGCAACTAGATAGAAATATGCCTGAAATTCGGGGTCCTGTGACCCCCACATGCCTTTTGCCTGTTGGTTCAATACAATGTATTATCAATTAGCATAACTAAAGTGACTATCCCTGTGGGAATAAACCACTATGAAACACGTTACCTAGGTTCCCTCCGTGGCACAGTTTTATAGTTGCAAGATTTCCATATTTTTGGGGGGTCCCTCATCGAGGGGGTCATGGATATCCAACATAGGAACAAGTTGGACACCTTGTTATATTTATACATCTTTTTTTGGGGGTTGGGCCGTAACATCTTGCACATTTAAAAAAATAAACATGAATTTATAGAACATGATCTTTTGCACTTTATCATACCACATAACTTTATATCAACTTTGTTGGAAACCAATCAATTTTAAACATATGATTGTAGTTTTCTAACATTGTTAAGTCAATGTTTGCTTCTTTAGTAACTTAATCAAGTTGATGCACATGAGAAAGCACCTTTATACAAGAATTGTGGGAATCAATGAAACACAATAGTTTGTCATGTTACAGAGATTGTGGTCCCCTAGAAATCTGTGGTTGGCTGGATATACATGTTTGATTAGCCCCATTAAATTGATGGAGCGTGAAG